TGCCCAAGAAACATTTCTTTATATTATTATTGCTTATTACTTTTGTGGAAACCATAATAAAAAAAATTCACAGGATTTATTGATGAAATGTGATTTGGGATTTATTGATGAAGTGATAAATCTTCCAAGGATTCTTTGTTGGTTTTGGACAGCTGGAGGTGCGCAGTGAGGGCAAATTTGTGGTGCTAGAGGTAAACAACAATGTAGAGCTTATAGTCGGTCTTCATTCTAAACTGGCAGAAGATGAATTAACAGGAAAGATACGTCTTGCTCTTGGTGGCATGCTGGTGGACAAACAAAAGCTCTTCCATCCAGTATGTTTACTTGTATTTTCCATTAATATTTTAACTGAAAAGTGAAAAATAACAAATTATCACTGACAGCAATGACTGACCACATAAAATGTCCTTTTCTTTATTTTATTTCTCAGTTTGAGCCAGAAATGGATGCTTGTATAAGAGGAGGGCATTGGCTAAATCTCAGCACCCCCTGGGATGCAGACTCAACATGGGAACCCTTGCCCTGCTTCTCTGAGATCAAGAAAGGGAGCTATTTTCCAGGAACTGGAGTGGCTATGTTTAATACATCTGGTGAGCGAAGAATCATGTATGTTTAAACTTGCATCACAGATTAGATGACGTTATTCTTCCATGCACATATCACGGCAGATCTTCCTGGACTTAAGACGGAAGAGGCCGGTATCACAGTCGAGATCTTCGGATCCTGGACTGGGACAACGTTGAGTCTCCAAAGCACAGGATTTGAGTATGTTTTGAGAGAGTTAGAAGGGAATAAAGATGTCAAGGTATGTACACAGTAAAAAAAAAAAATTCCTATCATTAATTAAATGCTATTGACATTTAAATGATGACCCCACTAATGATTATTACAAAGAAAACTAGAGATTGTTTGTTTAAAAGTACACAGTTCTATTACGAGCAATCTTTCATAACATTTATTGGTCAAACTTTACAATAAGGTTCCATTTGTTAACATTATATTACTTAACATGAACTAATAATGAAAAATTAAGGACTTATTAATCTTAGTTAACGTCAAACATTTACTAATACTTTATAATTCAAAAAGAGTACCTGTTAATATTATTTAATAGTCCTGAGAACAGTTGTATTTTTATGAACTAAAATGAACAAAAATTATTTTTATCATCATTTACTTACCCCTCATGTTGTTCCAAACCTGTATGAGTTTCTTTCTTATGTCGAACATAAAAGAAGATTTTGACGAATGTTGGTAATCAAACAGTTGATGGTCCCCATTGACTTCAATGGCATTTTTTTGGCATCCTTACTATGGAAGTCATTGGGGACCACCAACTGTTTCTGATTCTTCAAAATATCTTCTTTTGTGTTCAACATAAGAAGGACACTTATACAAATTTGGAACGACATGAGGGTGAGTAAATGATGACAAAATTTTCATTTTTGGATGATTTATTCCTTTAATAAATACTATAACAAATACTTTGCTCTACATAAGTAAAGTTTGGTTAATGCATTAACTAATGGGACCCTATTGTGAAGTGTTACCCATTAATCTGCACTGTAACAGGAGGTGCAGTTGGGCCTGAAAGAGGGATCGGAAAGTGTTGCCCCTCCTTATGAACATGCAACACTTACTTTCACCATACTGAAACATTCACTTGTGGTAAACAGCAAACCAGAGCTTGAAACAGAAAGTCTGGACTTTTTCTCCATGTGGAAAAATGGGATGCTACTGACTTTTGGGGGAATGCCAGGTAAATTTGCGTGGTGGAAGTAAGCAAGAATTTCCGTGCTCAAGTACTCCTCCATTCTGTTCTGTGTTAAATTCTCAATGTTTCGCTTGTATCTGTCAAGTAGACAATATTTTTTGTATTAAACAAATCCTTATATTTCACATCGAACCCTTTTTTTTTCAGGTGACAGTGAGGAGGCAAAAAATACACATTACCTGCGTGGGTGTCTGGAGAAAATCCTTATCCAAGGCCAGGTCATTGATCTTGATTGGGCATTGTACAAACACACAGCAGTATCATCTCACAGCTGTCCTACAGAAGCAATGAATGAACTCACTTAATAGAGATACAAGGCATTAATCCTGGCGGGCTAATCTCTAAGATTCTCTTCATGTTCCACACATCTTATATCTGTCATAGGTAGGCCTATTTAAAAAAGCTCAATGTTCAGTTGACCCAAAACCTCCAAAAATGTACTGATGGGCTGTTATGTTCCATTGAGCAATAAAATACATTTGAAATTAAATGGCACATCTTTCCAGTACATTAATGATTGAAAAAGGTAAATCCCTTTTGTACAAATGCATTTAAAAGGGAATGTTTTTCAATGAACATCTTTTAGTCAACAAAATAAATCAAGATCAATAAAAGATTCTTTGTTTCATTGCTGTTTCAAAATTGTATACTCCATGAAGAAAATACAAAAAATGTGCAGGTCATGTAAAATAAATAAACCAAATAAACAAATTAATTCATTAATTACGGGTTAGTCTGATAATGCATCATATTTCCATATATACATGGAAGTTCATATTTGAAGACTTAAGTTTATGACAGTAATAAGAAAAAATCTATAAATAAATTAAATTTGACTGTGTGTGTGTGTGTGTGTATGTATATATATACTGAACAAAATGATAAACGCAACACTTTTGTTTTTGCCCCCATTTTTCATGAGCTGAACTCAAAGATCTAAGACTTTTTCTATGTACACAAAAGGCCTATTTCTCTCAAATATTGTTCACAAATCTGGCTAAATCTGTGTTAGTGAGCACTTCTCCTTTGCCGAGATAATCCATCCACCTCACAGGTGTGGCATATCAAGATGCTGATTAGACAGCATGATTATTGCACAGGTGTGCCTTACGCTGGCCACAATAAAAGGCCACTCTAAAATGTGCAGTTTTACTGTATTGGGGGGTCCGGGGTGGTCCGAAAACCAGTCAGTATCTGGTGTGACCACCATTTGCCTCACGCAGTGCAACACATCTATACACAATAGTGTATATATATATATATATATATATACACTGAACTATAATTTTGTTCAGTGTATATATATATATA